ATAATCTCTTTTTAATTGCGAATAATTTGCACAAATGTTAAGCGAAAGTCAACAAGAAATATTACTTCACAAACCCTATTCTGCATTTAATATTCAGGATGAATAATGATTATTTATGATAGCAAAATTCACTGTTGATATCCATAATTTCAGAGAGAATTAAAAGAAAGAAAGGCAGCAAAAATTTCAATCCATGAATAATGTGGCTTTTCTGAGACAATGTCCGCTTCAATTGAACTTATCTTTTTAAACGATTTGGCGTCGGCTCATTGGTAAACAAATAATCAATAATGGATGAGGTGCTCGTCATTAGCCTCTTGGACAATTATGATATTAAAAGAAACAGCACCTGCCGTACCTTCAAAGAAGTATTGCCGATACTACGCAATATTCCGCATGAACGATTATAGTCTTTTTCACTGTTCTTTATTCATTAAAATTTTTTTGGTTAATAAATCTGTTTTCATTCTCAATCTTTCCATTACTGTCGGATTTTTAGTTCTACTGTTGCCTACAATTAGAGAGATACGGAAGACAAAAAAAAAACATCATCTCAACGCCGAACTGTTACGTACTATTAGCCAATTTAATTGGAACACGTGACAGGTGCGGTAGTTCCAAATATCATAATTCGGCAAAAGGCAGACAGTGCGACAAACACATCAATTTTTGAGCGCCAATGAGTTGCCGCCAAAACGTTCGCAAGAATAATCCCCGTCTGATTGATGCCGGCATGCTCACAAAAGAGACAAAAGATCTTCTGCCCGGTTTACCAGTAAAAGAAAACTCCATGCGGTAGAGTTAGCTCTAGATGGATATTGTCAAAGATTGTTGAGTCAATTTTATTTTAATATTACGGCGGAAAATATTAAACATATTTTGTAATACCCTCATATTAAATCAATGTTCATAATCAATCAATTGAAAGCTTAAACTCGCGAATTACTGAGGAGAAAAATGGTTGAATGCGGAATATATGTTGATCGATTTGATCCAAAACCATCTAAAAATAAGAATATAATATAAAATCGAAGAAATACGCATAAACCATTTGTCTCAGATGCTCGCATCTCTCTTTTTGGCATCCGTCCTTATTTGCCCTCAAAACGTCGAGAAGATCATTGATCCGTATGTGATAATATTGAAAATTTGGGCACAATGCTTTTTGATAATAATCGTTCATCAATTTGAACATGTTCTTAATAAAGTTTAAATGTCATTGGTAAAGCTTACAGCATATATTTCAGAGATGGGCGGGAAATTTTTATTTAAAAAAATAACCGGAAATTCGGGAAATGTATAAGGAAATATTAACTCTATATATTTAAAGAACAAATACTCAAATTAATCAGCGGTCAAAAAGAATTTGCAAAGTTAAAGCTCTTTGTTTTTTCTTCTTTGAAAACAACAGAAACAAACATGCTTCTACATGTAATTATTCCAAAAATCAAATCAAATTTCCCGTGTATTTGGACCTTTCCTGCGCTTCTCTGATCAATACCATTTTTGTTTCGTAAATTTCCATCTTGCTCTCCACAACATCGGCAACAGATGAGCACATGAAATTCATTCTTCAATAAATGGATTACTTCGAAGCAGTTTGAAAAACGGAAAATTAATGCATAAAGGCACTTTCAATAATGAGCAGTTAAAATATTCGCATACGATAATTATTGGTTAAAAAAAAACGAAAAGTTTGTTAAATAAATGGAGTGATTAGCATTTTCTAAGAAAAACGCGATAAAAACAATGATGTTTGTCGGACGTTTATTTGGAAAATATTTGAGACACGACAATATTCAGAAAAAACATTCAATTTTTGCAATAATTTATTTCTATTAAATTTTTTATTAAAATTACTATTAAATAAATGGATAATTTTCAATTCCCAAATATATGAAGAAATTGACCAGAATGAAATGTTTAGAAATCTTTTCGCAAAAAGGTTTCGAGTGCACTGGTAAGAGAATGCATTAATTGTCACGGAATTGTTGAGCCATGTGAATAAGATGTGTGTAAAACGAGGGACGGCGATGGGGTTAGTTGGGATCTCCACCTGTCTTTTGAGCCGATAAACAATTTTTAAGGATAATCCATTTTTAATTGCGCCTAATATGCACCGAGAGTAAGTGAATACTTACGGAAATACAAATGATTAAAAAAAAACTTTTTTTTCGCTGCAACAAGGAAGCCGTTAATAATATATTTAAAAAATGAAAGAAAATGTAAAAGCAAAATAGCAAGAATAAATTATCACAATTTGATTATTTGCCGAGGTAAGTAGTAGCTAAAGTTGTTGTTGTTATTGAAGCTGCTGTTGATGTTGTTGTCTGTTTGATTCATGTTGCAAGTTGAAATAACTACAAAAAACATCAGCAATTCACCATAAGGCTTTATAAGAAAACATACGAAAATAAAAATTGTGACTCTCTCAATGTATTATTTCTTTGCATTTGAAAATTACGCTAGAAATTATCCAGCAAAAAAGTCGCAACCAAAAAGAAAATATCCTAACAATGAATTTATCGGCTCAGGTGACAGGTGAACTGAGGTAATTAGTCGTTTCTCTCATTATATTCACTGTGCATATATATCATTCAAAAAAATGTAGTGTCCATGAGAATGAGTCATTGCGAAAACTCAACGTTATTTGCTATGAATTGTTATGCTCATGTTTGGAATATTTTCAAAATAAACTTCTGATGAACATGATTTTTTCAATGTTTTTTCATAGAAAACGATAATTACTATTCAAATCATTATATTTCGACTGGTTTTACCAATCTTCATAAAAAATTGTTGCATAGTATGGACGATTCTTTTGCGGAGGCGTGGCAAGAGTTGGTAACTCTAACATTTATCATAATTGGTCACAAGGCTATTGACTCAGCGAGCAGAATACCTATTTTTGATTTCGCTTTGCAGATGAGCGGCCGCAAAATGATTAAAGGTGATTAATTGAGATGCTCACACTACCGAAAAAGCATAGAGTCGTACTTCTTCTGGCCTTAGTCGTACGTTGTGACAGACTTGTTAACAAAATACGTGGACATCGTGACATGATTTCTTAACAAAAGTTTCACAGTACAAATCCGTTGAAAAAAAATATTGAAAATAGGAAAAAATTAAATAAAAAAGTAGTACGAAATAACATTTCAACGTTTTTCATTGGTTTATGGTCAATAGCAAATATATATTATTTTCGTTTTGCTCAAAAAGCAGTAAAATTTACAAGGAAGTGGTAGTCTTCATATATGTGAACTTGCAAAGGCTACATTCAAAAAACAGTTTTTATGCTCTCAAAATGAGTAATCCGCAGAGAAAATTTTTGATTAATTAATGTGGGATTTGTTAGCGAATTAATTATATATAAAATTGCTGAATAAAGTGGAAAATGAATAATCAAAAACAATTATTTATGTTAAAAAAAAAAGATATTTCCTAAAATATAAAAACATGATGCTTTGAAACTCAAGACAAATTTGAGGGCCTAATTTTCATTTTCTTGAGATTTGAAAGACAATTTATGAAAACTCAACCGAATGATGAACGAGAGTTAATTATTTCTCCGAGATACCATCTGATTTTTAGATTCCACGATACCTCTCTTTGTAGGTTATGGTAGATCTAAAAACCGAATGGGGAATGGAGATACGTTCATAGAATAAAACCGAAATAATGGAATACAGAAAATTTTCGGGAAAGTTGAGAATAATGGAGACCGCAAAGCTTTCGACTGGCTTCATTCATCTTGGTGTGTGGTTGTCGCGAAAAGCCAGCAAGTAAGGTGCGGCAGGTGGTGTTGATTTAAATATCTTAATTGAGAAAATGGCTAATGACACTGCAAGCCACCTTTTTGCAAATGAGCAGCCGCAAATGGTTCGAAAGGTTAATCCCGGATTAATTAAGACCCATGTGCTGAAAAACAAAATAAATAAATTTTGTCGGATTTTTAGTTGTGTTTCTATTCTAACGTTGAAAAATAAAAATTTTTAAAAATCCATTGTCGACATCATGATGTACATATAACTCAGTGTTTCCGAAGTTTATCAATATTTTCCAAAATATTTTTCAATATTTTTTTTTTCTTGCAGTCAGCATTCGGACTTGAATCCGTGATGCTATGCGTTGGCGTCTCCTTTGCAGTCCACGAGCATCTACAAGTACAGGCTCGATGATGAGTTTACACGCACATTGCTTTACACTAAACCGGGGCAACCAATATATTTTCTGACTTTGTCAACAAGAAATCGAAGAAACCCCGACCGAAAAATATGAAAATGATAAAGAAGAAAGAATGAAAAAGAAATCGCAGAAGTGTGTCATATTTGTTATATATAACTGATAATTCATGTTTGAAACGACTTATGTAAAGACAACAACTATTATATAAAAATTAATGACGTGAATTAAACATGGGCAAACGGATATCGGAAACAGTTGACGGTATGCTTTTAGAATGATGTCGATTATTCCGATCACCTTTCCGTGGCTGAATGTGAAATGAAGATAAATTAATTAATGGTAGTCGACTTGCTCATTTGATATTCTGCAATATTCATATTTTTTCGAATGGAATACTTGTTTCCTTCGAAAACTAACTTATGACAATTCCAATTGAGATGAGCTTTGTTATAGACTACTTCTTTTTGTTGATTTGCTAATTGCAAAAATGTTTGATACAAATGAGTTGTTTAAAACACGGTTGTATTATATAGTCATTTATCTTTGCAGTTTCAGGTGAATATCACCATAAAAAATAAGTGTTAGTGTAACGGAGAGCAAATATATTGGGAATAACGGATTTACACTAAAAAGGCAACAAAGAAAAAGAAAAAGCAGACGGGTGGTAGGTTGCCACTCCCCGAACTGCTTCAAACAACATTTCAAATAAAAACAAATTATTAGAAACAGAAGGTGGTAGGAAGGCCACTCCCCGCTGCTCTAGTGAAAAATTAACAAGAAAAGAAAAATTGGGGACACAAGACTCGTCCTTCGGTCTACTGTTGCTGCTCATTCTGCTCAGCACCACCGTTTTGCTCTTCAACATTCTCTCGGTTGATCAGCCATGGCTAAAAATAAATATCTATTTTAAATGAATTATTTTATGCGGACAAACCGCAACTACTGCGGGAACACCAGCTCCGTACTGACAGTACATTTCGTGGAGTGTGCGTGGGAAATGAATGGGTGGCTGCTGCGGTCGCGAGTCGCGGATGAGGAGGGCCAAATGCTCTTGCTGCATCAATAACTGATACTCCATCTGATTCAATGGGATATGACGCCAGGTATCTCCAACGAAGATGTTCTTTAAAAACATAGCGTTTTTTTTTTGAAAATAATACCATCACGCTTACGAAGTATGCAACTGGAACATCAGCACGGTCGTGTTCATCCCGGGGAGGCGGAGGCTGGTGCATCTGGAGAGCCAGATATCCTTCTCGCATCAAATTTTCATACTGCATCCGGCTTATTGGGATATTACGCCAGATCCCTCCAGACATATAGTTCTGTAATAAAAATGTATTACGGTTTTTTTCATTAAAAAAACTAAACAAATAAATAAAAACTTACAAAATATCCAATTGTTCCATCCATAGTTCCTACTGGTTGGATAACGGGAGGCTGAAAGTATTATGTGGCTTCAAATATTATTTCCGTCACCTCACTATAAATCCCTGATTCTGTGCTTGCTGGAGCTGAGCTGCTGGGGGTTGGGGGATTTGTCGTGGGGCTTGATGGCGCTGGCTGGCCTGACGCTGCGCTTGGATTCGTTGACTGGGCTGACGTTGTGCTGGTGGGCGCTGATTGGCTTGTCGATGTGCTCTTGGGCGCTGTTCCTGACGTTCGTTTCCATGACTCGTGACTCGCTTATTATTCATTGGGGCCATCGCAAGTTAACCTGAAAATTGACAACGTGAAAGAGTGATTGTGCATTGAAAAGAAAGAAAATGTGGATGCGACCGCTCAATATATTAGGCATTATTAGGCCCCGCCCCTTCCGTTGCCTATAGGAGTACTAAGAGGGAAGAGGTACGAGGAGGTAAGAGTACTGTAGACCACCACAAATGTGTGCGAAAATTGAGTCTTCGATGTGCAAAAGGTTCAAGACAATGAGTTATACAAAAAGATATTACTGGAATTTTTCAAAAATATTTTTAAAAAATTTGATCAAAGTCGACAAAATTATGTCAATAATGCTGCAGTAAAAAACTATATATGTTTTTTTTCTCAGCATTAAAAATTTCTCTATTTCTTCGGCATGCACCAATTAGGTAAATTATAATTACTTATATATATATATATGTATATATGTGAAAGTAATATGAACACGTTAAAATAGGTGCCAGTTGAGGTACTGACAGAAAACCTCACAAGTCCCGGTACGAATTTGTCGGATTTCGGTTTTTGGTCATGTTTTTTTCTACATATATTAAACATAATTTCGGCTATAAGCAACCTTTAGGTTAGGTCAAAAAATTTTATGGAAAGCTGTTCTTCCACTCATGTTTTTTATACGGCATGACAAAATCAAAGATGGTCCTTGCAGCAATATTGGATACATGAAGTCTGCGAGAGAGTGGGAAAAATTAAAAGAAAATTCGCTGATTGTATTCAAATATAGCTCATATACACGTTTACAACAATGGACAATAAGCTGATCATCAATAGAGCGAAATTGCAACGTTGTTGGTTCTTGACTCCGCCCATCGACTATAAAAGGGAGTTCAGTTGGATAATTCCTCAGTTTTGTATTTCGTTTCCGCTTTACAATACTCCCACTACAATTGCTTTCAATTGCGCGCTAGCGTACTCCGGCAACACTCGTTACATTTGCGGTGCGTGCGGCGTCACGTTCTCATAAAAAGCTAGCATTTCAATTTTCGACTTGCTCGTGTTTTCCTATTTCTTATGCACAGCTCAAATGAATGTATTCATTACAGAAAGTATGATGCAGCATAAGAAAAACGGTTCTCTAACGGATGTCACTACACAAGTTAACTTCAAGCCTTCATCAGCCATGCCATCCGGTAGCATCTCAAGAACAGCCAATCAGTTGGTCATGCAGCTGATTCAAGTTATTGAAAATAAAGAGCATGTAAGAAAAAGGCAATTATTTCAATATAGCACTATTTGGATATTTCAGATGATCACCACCGTGACAGTTCCTTTGCCATCTAGCAGCTCCGTTGTAACCGATTTTGGTATTCATAAGATGCGTGATCAACTGGATGCCTTTCTGAAGGAGTTTACAGCCGATCCAGCTTATATCGAACCGGTTAGTTGCCATCACAGTGAACATTTGAACATTTTTTAAATTTGGTATGTAGATGGTGGATGCAGCGACTCAAACAGAGGGAACCCTCAGCCCTGCATCTGAAGCGACTGATTCGGAAGAAAATACGATTCCAGTTCAAAACAAGATACCTGATCAAGTTAACAGTGCTACTGTTAACGTCCAACGGTGAGATTTTAACATTCTTAAAAATAAATAAAAGTGGTAACATTTTCAGAGAATATTTCGGAGTTTTGCACTTTTTGGTTACTCGGCCATCGGTAGGAAACTGTTTCTGGTCTATTCATATATATATATATATGTTTCTTCAGTTGTCGGCTCGAATGAAAATCGCGCTGACTGATCTCGATGGAATTTCAATGAAGGAATTCGAGAAATTACGGAACAATTTAGCTAACGAGCTTACCCCGTTGTTCGTACCATCCGAGAATTCGATTCCTGAACCAGAAATAATTGACCCGGATATTAAGAAATATGTCTACTCAGAACGTGGAACTTATTGTCCAGGTGTTTTGAACCTTGTGGTTTTCCGAAATGGCGTATGAAACGATGTTTATTTCAAAATTGTCATGATTTTGATGTTTTAGATGGGTGCAAACTTGAAGGTGAAGATTCCAAGTCTTCAAGGAATTACGACGAATCAATACAAAAACGTACGACAGAATGTGAGACAGTTTCTTGTCCCATTTTTTGAAGCCGCAGCAGCTATGGATGCTGTAAGTTTTTTTTAGAGAATTCAATTTCAGTTATTGTTAATGCTTTTAGGGCATCGAAATTACTCGAGGAGCTACCAGCAACAACACAGAGGAAGCAATGAAAAAAGCAATTGAAGAGCTTAAACATTCGGGAATTCTCGAGCCTGAAGTCGAATTTGACCCTAGTATTCCATCGACGTCTACTGGAATCACGAAATCTCAGGAAGTTCCAAAGGCAAAGAGTTTTGGTCGCGAAAAAGATGCAAAACAAGTCGAGAGTCATAAGAAGAGCAAGGTAATTTATGTGACGCCATTTACAGTATAAATATCAATTTTTCAGTGAATTGTTCCTGTTCTTCCAGGCAATGAAATCCTTTGCCATAGGTACCTCAACACAAATAATCCCACCTGAAAACTCCAATGAATGAACACTTAGGTACTTGTTATATAAACCATCTTTCCATGTTTTTTTTGTAACTTTGTATCGTTTTAAATGTTTTCAGAATGCCCTTTTTATTTTTTTCTGTAGCATTTGTTCTTTTTTACCGTAGCTATTTTTAATGAAATATTAGTCAAACTCCTAAAAACTCATTTAACCCAATTCTTGCAAATTGAAAAATTATATCATCTCCGTTCATTTCATTTAATCATTTAATTTTTTTTACTGTTATTTGCTTTTCTGTTTCCGTTTAGTAGCTCTGATATGAAATCTGAACTATACTCAATAAACCATTCGGAAAAATTTGAAAGTGTTTTGAAAACAATTTTAAGAAAAACTCTGAAGAAATCCTAAAACTTGAAGACTAGTGATTGGGCATGGTAAAAGCAGGTCCGGATTGAGATGTTCCAAATTGGTCTTTTCATCAAAAAAAAGACCACTTTGGTTGTTGATCACGCGTACAGTTACGCATTTTGTTATTAATTATTAAAATGCTAATTTCAAATAAGAATAGTCTGGTAAAATAGACGTGTCGATTAAAAATCGGGTGCACTTTTTTTTGTTACTTTTTGCGCACTCACGCAAATGTACACGTTGTTTGACCTCTCGTGATTGATGTCCCTGAAAGGGGAGCTCCCTACAATGTGGTTAGATCTTTTGTTTTTTATTTTCATAGCAAGCGGTGCCATTTTTTCATAGCAAGCGGTGAATTACAAGCAAATTTCTTCTTCCATCCAACTGATTTCCTTTTTTCTATCACATAACCTCTTTATAATTTCATCTACGTTCATTAAATAATATAATTTGCCCCTTTCATTCTTTAATTATTCATCCTACTTAAACAAATTGTTTTTTTTTGTGTTTTTGTTTTAATTGTGTTTTTTTTTTCAGTAATCATGGAAGGTTATATTGAAGGTCCTAGCAATTTTCAATTCATTTATGTTACTCGACTGGCGGCATCCGAGATGTTAAGTGAGATGGTTGCGAGATGCGAACAAGTAGGGCTCCAGATTAACGCTGGAAAGACCAAAGTCCTACGTAACCCCTTCGCAGACTCCGCCAAGGTTACCCTAACGCACCAGAATTCGGTCAGTATCATTGACAATGTTGATGAATACGTGTACCTTGGAAGACTACTCACCCCCAAAAACGAGCTAGTCAAGGAGATCTTCCGAAGGAGAAGAACAGCTTGGGGATCACATCACGAAAAGGAAGATGACCTGGGCTGGACATGTTGCTAGAAGAACAGATGGAAGATGGACTACTCTTCTAACGGAGTGGCGGCATTTTCCTACGACGGACAACATGGCATTTATGCGGTCCCTAAACCATAGGTATTAAGAGATCTTGCGATTGGAAATTCTCCGAATAATAGTCACTAATATAATAATTAATATATAAAAGCAAGGATTGAACAAGAAATCTTTGACTTCCATTCAAACAAGCCTTTTCAAAAAAAATATTAAAGGAAGTATTAAATACTAAGATGTATTTTAAGAATAAGCTACTAAAAATTTGAAGGTTCTCATCGTAAACCTTAAGGATTCTAATTCGACCTTGATTTATTAAAAAAATATAGAGTGCGGGAATTGAGGGTACGCGTAAACCCCGGCCTCGTGTGCCATATTCCCGACTCTTTCCATGTTCATCGATTCGTGTTGGAAACAAACAATAAACAACTAAGAGTTTATTTATGCACAATAGAATGAGTAACGAAATGGTGTGGACTTAAAACGTGTCTCCCAGCTTCCTACCTCCCCGTTCGTTTAACGAGCATCGCTTATATAGGGGGTGAGCTGGTGGCATTGATAAAGGCCTTGGATTATTGCTTCCGGTCGGAGGGTTGATCAAATATATATTGGCCTCCTTCCGGTCGCTGGTCGACCTGATTTTGCCCCTATGACTCACTTACAATAGTAAACTTAAAGCTTTGCCTCAAATTCATCCGAAATTCTCCGAATAATAAAAAATTATTTAAAAATGAATATATAAAAGCGAGGATTGAATAAGAAATCTTTGACTTCATGATTTTTCAATAATAAATAATGAAAACCACCAAAACGAACTCACCGCTGAAAGAAAAAAAAACAATTCATGACAAGAGAACAGTTACAATCGATCATTTTTGTCGTTGTAATCTGAATTCCCTCGCCATTGTTTTGTTTTTTTTTTTTAATTTCGACTAAATACTTACAGAAATCAAAACGAAAAGTTAAATTTCGAAACTCGTTGTCCAAATGGGACCTAACAAAACAAAATATTAAGTATTTTTTAGAGTAAATGTATTCCTAACGAAGCCTTGTGATAATTTTTGAAAAAATTCCCAAATTGCAAAATATGATCACTGCTCCCAACTATTTCGAAAAATTGAAATTTCTCACTCGGCGAGGAGGCAGAGGGAGATCAGATGAGCCGTCTACGACCTTATGCCATGCTTAGCCTATAACCGAGGTCAACTCACATTTGTCGAAATAGTGGAAGAATTTTACACATGCAAGTTTGGGAATGTAAATAATTTAAGACAAATTAATAAAATTGGCTCATAACAAATATGAGAGTAGTGATAACGGAGAGTAAATAGGGGATAAGTCATCTAGAAAATGATAAATGAATATGAGGAAAATAAGACACTCAGGACTTAAAAATAGAACTCATCACTTGCATCGCAGTGGTGAGATGACGAGCGAGTTGATTCATTAATTCAGTAGGAATAGTATAATTGGGATTGTTTAAATAGTGGATATACACACAAAAACAAGCTGTATGCTCAGTAACTATAGCATGAGAATTTTGGAAACGAGGGTCGGCCGCCTGAACGGTAAACGTCTTCGAAAGATCGGCATTGAGGGCACGAAGTTCAAGGAGCCTGGCGACGCCGTCAGAATCAAACGTGGTATTTTGGGAAAGCCAAATGGCGGCCTCGTTATGAATGATATAGAGAAAGAAGTAGGGAACGGAGAGGTTATGATCGATGAGCACGAATTTCTCCTCGCCGCGAAACACGGTGTTCAAGAATTTCTTCACCTCATCGACATCGGCATTGACACGCAAACGCATAAAATACAAGAATACCTTGGTTTTCTCGCCTGTGGTCATTTTGCGGGGAGTGGTGCCGACTTTGGGTTTGTGGGTGGCGCGAGATGGACGTCTGGGCATCTTCACAATAAAGACGACGGTAGCTCAGTACAAATGAATGAGTGAGACTCCGCCGGATATAAAAAGAGTCGAGGTGACGAAAATAGGCGGAGTCTATGCCACGCCCACATTTAGTTGAGGAAATTACAGTACTCTATACTGCCCTCCTTCTGCGACACCTTTGCCTTCATTGCGGGACATACCAGACTGATAAATCTAAAAAAAATTTTAGAACGAGACCCAACTAAAATTTCAGCAGAAAAATGAAAATTGCTCAGTGAAGTTATAAATAAATTATACAGTACCGCTCAAAAGGTTGGAAACTTTTGGTTTTTTGGGCATAACTTTTTTGAAACCAAACTTTTTTACATAAACTTTTTTTCCGATTGTTTCTTACGCAATTGCCGATATAATGAGCTAAACATGATTCGTGCTTACCAAATAAGGATTTTAGGCCATTTTTTCAGAAATCCGTAAAAACACATTTTTTGGATATTCAATTTAAGTCGGTTTTTTTTTACCGGAAAGATAGTTTATTAACACAAAATCATTGGAAACTAAAATTATAAGGTTAATACTTGGTTACAAAGCCTCCGAAGTCAATAACCGCCTGGCACCTGCGAGGCATGGAGTCGATCAAGTTGTCTCTGATCGAGTGTGGAATCTTTTTCCATTCTTCTTCCGATTGTCGGATTTTTTCGTTCGAATTTGTGGCGGTTCTGCTTGCCATTCTTCTCTCTAACTCTTCCCTTCCCACAAGTGCTCGATGGGATTCAAGTCCGCGGATTGACTTGACCAGTCCATAACCTTGATGTGCTGACTTGCGAACCAATCCTCAATTGATAAATATTTGAGAAAAAAAGCGAATTTTCTTAATTTCACAAATTTTGAAGTGTGCTTTCGGTCGTTGTCCTGTTGGTAAACACAACCAATACCCATTGCCTTATAATGCGGCAACATCTGCATCTCTAGGATCTCCTTATAGACGAAGCGATCCATGATTGTTTTCACATGGTGAAGGGCGAAAATGCCTTTTCCGGAAAAGGCACCCCCAATCATGCAATTGCCTCCCCCGTGCTTTTCGGTAGGAGTTTGATACTTGGGATTGTATCGAGAACCTACAGGACGGCGGACCGATTGAATTCCGTCACTTCCAACGAGCTTTCATCCGACCAAAGAACACCATTCCAGTGTCAAATCGCGTCCAATTCATATGTTGCTTACAAGGGAGGTCATTTTGCTGTCCGTCTTAAAATTTTTTTATTTTTTGCATTCTTTAGAAAATTTCCAATCGAATGAACTAGGTCCCTACCTGCGCAAACTTCTAGTTATCGAGATATGGACCTTCAAAGATTTAGCCCCTCCCCACGTGAATTTTGCACACAAATGTGCGGAAACTCGAAATGAAATTCGGTCCCGCTATCCGTAAACTTTTTTGCGTATTTTATTAATAGGTGATACAGTAATTATGACAGTGCAATTTTGCGTTTTTCTATTCAAATTTGCCATTTTCATCATATTGAAAGGGTATGTATAAGAAAAAAATAGTTTTAAAATATGTTCAAAAATTGAAAAATTTTTTATAAGTTATGTGGTTGTTGATCATGAAATGCTTGGAGCAGTGGTTGTCACAATAGAAGACTGCATTTCCTGAGATGGGCAAAAATAACCGAAAAGCTGTGAAACATATTTTTACCTTGATAAATTTTGTATTTTTAGTAATTTGTGGAAAAGTATTCAAGTATGAGCGCCGCCTCAGGCCACCGAATTATTAAAGCACTCTTGTCACATAATCGAGCAACAGTAGTATAAGAAAGGTTGACGCTAGCGCACCCTTTCACCCATTTCCAAAATTCAGCAATTTTGGGAAAAGGTGATTTTTGCGCCAAAAATAATGACCGAGGGTGACACCCAATTTAGGGTGCTTTTGATTTTTTATCAATTTTCATTGATTTTTGTGCATTTCTGTTTGTTTATTGTTCACAAAGTAGAAAATCTTGATTTCCAGGAGTGAAGTCTCAAAAATTTCTAGTTCGGAAGGAATGACAAAGCATAAGAGACCTTTAACAAATCTTGATTTTCTTGCTTTGGTAAAAAATTAGATATTAAGAATTTCCGAGGCATCTTTATGTGAGATACTTTGCGAACACAAGGAATTAAAGAAAAAGAAGTGGGTATTCTCAATCTAGATTCTTCTAATAATAAAGGAACTCATTGGGTCTGTTATTCCAAAAATAAAGATAAAAATTTTTTACTTTGATTCTTTTGGACTTGATCCACCATTAGAACTCCAACAATATTTAAAAGGATCTGAGATCCTTCCGGAATCTTCGATTTTGAAAATTTCAAAAAAGGAAAATGAAAAATCAGTCATCGAATTATCAACATTTCAAATTCAAGAGTTTGAAACACATCATTGTGGCTATTACTGCTTACTTCTTTCAGAATAGAATTTTCAAATTTTCAAAAAGCAATACTCTCATTAATTTAAAAATTCGAGAATGCTCTGGTATTATATCCTTTTCGAAGGATAGTTCTCTTGAATCCATTATGGATGCTATTGTCGGCGTCAAACGACTGAAAGGAGGCGGAGCCTTCAAATTCACGAAATCAGTGTAGATTTAAATTTTTTGTTGACTGAATATTAAATGCGCGTACGCTATAATGCAATGTACGCAATCTCGCTGCCTCGAGACGCATTGGCACATAGCCAATAATTTTTTTGATTTCGTCAAGTCGTTTGACGCCAACAATATGCTTTTATAAATCATCATATTTTTGCATCAATTGGTTATCTTAAACAACTTTATCTATTTCTTGAGTATATAATTGTTGTTTTATACTTCTTATACAATATTGTTTCCTTCTTAGAATACTCTTATTAAAAAGAGTATTTTTATAATCGTCGACTTTCAAAGATTTGACAACACATTTCTTAATTTCTCTATTTTTCTTATGTTCTTCATCATTAAGTGTTTTATACGCATACTGTTTTGGTCTGAGAGCAACTATTTCTGTCATAATCTTACCATTCAATTAATCTTTAAATTTATTATTAAATACTAAGATGTACTTTAAGAATAAGCTACTAAAAATTAGAAGGTTCTCACCGTAAACCTTAAGGATTCTAATTCGAACTCGATTTATTCCAAAAATATACGAATTTCAAGAAGTACACTTAAAGCTTTGCCTCAAATTCATCCGAAATTCTCCGAATAATAGCCACTAATATAATAATTAATATATAAAAGCAAGGATTGAACAAGAAATCTTTGACTTCCATTCAATAAGCCTTTTCAAAAAACAATATTAAAGGAAGAATTGATTACTAAGATGTATTTTAAGAATAAGCTACTAAAAATTTGAAGGTTCTCACCGTAAACCTCAAGGATTCTAATTCGAACTCGATTTATTCCAAAAATATACGAATTTCAAGGAGTAAACTTAAAGCTTTGCCTCAAATTCATCCGAAATTCTCCGAATAATAGTCACTAATATAATAATTAATGTTGGAGCCGTGGCCTCGACACGTCACGTGACACACCACGTGGCACACGTTTCATAGGAGCGATATAAAAACCCCTTTTTACGCTCAATAATCAGTTATTCATATTGTGTCTAATAAATAATATTCTCTACGTTGGCTCGTTCACAAGGACACAACAACTGGCGATCAGGAACACAACAACTGGCGATCAGGATCTACGCACCATGGACGTCAACACAGTCAAACTGCTCTTGGCAGAGCAAGCGAAGCAGCACCAAGACTTCGTTCGAGAAATCACCAAACTTCTGATGGAGGGACGACCAGGCACTTCACCAACCGCTCCCGCACAACCAAACACCCAAACAGGGCTTATCGACTCGCTGACGACTCGACTACTGACATTCTCCTTCGACCCGGATGAAGGAACCACATTCGAAATCTGGTATTCACGGTACGAGGACATTCTGCGACTGGATGGATCAACATTGGACGACGGCACCCAAACCAGGATCATCCTATCAAAGCTCGATGCCCCCGCTTTCGCCAAGTACGCCGACAACATCCTGCCAAGGAAACCATCGGATCTAACGCTCGAAGAGACCATCACCCGGCTCAAGACTCTCTTTGGACACTCGAAGTCTGTATTCCGACGCCGATTCGAATTTCTGCAATCGCAATTCACTGGTTCGGATCTTGTTCAATACACTGGCCAAATCAAGAGGAAGTTCGCGCAAGCAGAATGGGCAACGACGACGCCGGAGCAAACCCAGATTCTCGTCTGGATCATGGGTCTCAACGGACCGGAATTCATGGACGTACGCACCCGCGCTTTGCAGCAACTGGAGTCAAGGCCGAGCATCACTTTGGACGAATTGCAAGCGGACGTACTGCGCATTCTTGGAATCAAGGACGACGCGAAACTCCTCAATTCGCCAACAATCAAAGGACCTCACCACGACCACCAGCACATCTTTGCTATGTCGAGAGAGGACCACCACCAACAACGATCAACGACGTCACGAAGAACCTCGACCCCGAAGGCGAGGACACCCGAACCACGACCAGAACAGCCAACAACGCAGCAGAAGCCACCATCACCATGCAGACATTGTGGAGGACCTCACTGGAATGCTGACTGCAACCGCAACCAAACGGACAGCAGACGAAAACGGAAAGCCGCCAACAACAACAGGATTCATCTCAAAGAATCCCGCAGAGGACGTCAAGGAGGACATCTGGGACTCATCTCAGTCAACCACGCATGGATCAACAAGAGCAACCGAATCTTCAAGAACGTGAACATCAATGGAACCGACGTCAAGATGCAATTGGACACTGGCGCCGATATCTCGCTAGTCTCAACAAAGGATTGGATTCGACTTGGGAAACCATCGCTCGAGCCTGCCAACGTCAATCTGAAAGCCGCCAACAACAACAGGATTCGCCTCAAAGGACGGTTCAACTGCAAGTTCATCATCAATGGACAACACGGATCCGGATATTGTCATGTAGCCGATACCGCCACACTCCTCGGACTGGATTGGATCCAGCACATTCCCCGCTCTCTCTTGCTCACGGACGATGCCGCTGCCGACGCACTCTCTCATCTCATATCGGAACATGCCCGCACTATGGAGAACGAAGATCGAGTCATTGCCGCCGTCGAAGCTGAAGTCATCGCCGATCAGACCGAACGCTGCTCGAACCTGCCCATCACCGCCGACCAGGTTCGTCATCACACCCGCATGAAAACGCTTCTCCAAGAACAAGGATCGCGAAGCCGGTCAGACTACCACAGATCAATTCATCCCGAAACACCTATGTTTCGAACTAGCGAGGGAGATGTTGGAGCCGTGGCCTCGACACGTCACGTGACACACCACGTGGCACACGTTTCATAGGAGCGATATAAAAACCCCTTTTTACGCTCAATAATCAGTTATTCATATTGTGTCTAATAAATAATATTCTCTACGTTGGCTCGTTCACAAGGACACAACAATTAATATATAAAAGCAAGGATTGAACAAGAAATCTTTGACTTCCATTCAAACAAGCCTTTTCAAAAAACAATATTAAAGGAAGTATTAAATACTTAGATGTATTTTAAGAATAAGCTACTAAAAATTTGAAGGTTCTCACCGTAAACCTTATGGATTCTAATTCGAACTCGATGTATTCCAAAAATATACGAATTTCAAGGAGTAAACTTAAAGCTTTGCCTCAAATTCATCCGAAATTCTCCGAATAATAGCCACTAATATAATAATTAATATATAAAAGCAAGGATTGAACAAGAAATCTTTGACTTCCATTCAAACAAGCCTTTTCAAAAAACAATATTAAAGGAAGTATTGAATACTAAGATGTATTTTAAGAATAAGCTACTAAAAATTCGAAGGTTCTCACCGTAAACCTTAAGGATTCTAATTCGAACTCGATTAATTAAAAAAATATACGAATTTCAAGGAGTAAACTTAAAGCTTTGCCTCAAATTCATCCGAAATTCTCCGAATAATAGTCACTAATATAATAATTAATATATAAAAGCAAGGATTGAACAAGAAATCTTTGACTTCCATTCATTCATTTTGACTTCCATTCATATTTCAATAATAAATTATGAAAACCACAAAAACGAACTCACCGCTGAAAGAATAAACAATTCATGACAAGAGAACAGTTACAATCGATCATTTTTGTCGTTGTAATCTGAATTCCCTCGCCATTGTTTTGTTTTTTTTTTTGAATTTGACTAAATACTTACAGAAATCAAAACGAAAAGTTAAATTTCGAAACTCGTTGTCCAAATGGGACCTAACAAAACAAAATATTAAGTATTTTTAGTGTAAATGTATTCCTAACGAAGCCTTGTGATAATTTTTGAAAAAGTTCCCAAATTGCAAAATATGATCACTGCTCCCAACTATTCGAAAAATTGAAATTTCTCACTCGGCGAGGAGGCAGAGGGAGATCAGATGGGACCGTCTACGACGCTATGCCATGCTTAGCCTATAACCGAGCTGAAGCTCACATTTGTCGTAATAGTGGAAGAATTTCACACATTTGCAAGTTCGGGGAAGAAAATTAATTGAATAGGTTTTAGAAGAAATACTCATTTACGGGATGTGATAATTTTAAATTCATGAGATATCTAATCATACAGGGCGCCCAATTTATTGACGAGTTGTTGAGCGATAGTTTTCATGATTTCGTCTGGAACAGTGTAAGTAGGGATATTTAAATAGTGCAAATAGACAACAAAAAGAGAAATATGATCAGTCACCCTATTATAGGCGGATAGCATATTAGGGTCCTCAGCGTAAGTTAAGTATGTCTTCGAAAGGCTGACATTCTTATCACGAAGCTCGAGGAGCGTGTTGACGCCAATAGAATCGAAGGTGACTCCTTCGCTAATAGTAGAGACGTCCACGTCTTTGATGGAAGGAAAGAAGAAGTAGGGGACAGAGAGTTTAGGATCAATGAAAACAAATCTCTCTTCTCCGTGAAACACGGAGTTCAAGAATTGTCTCACCTCATTCACATTAGGATGAACTCGCAAACGAAAAAAGTACAAGAACACCTTGCGTTTCTCATCTGCGGTCATCTTTCGGTGCGGAACGCAGGCCATACTGATGATGGGAGATGATGGTCGAACGGACATCTGCACGAGAGGATAAATATGATCGAGATAGCAACTATCAAGTGCAACTGAAAAAAGTGTGGGGTGGCCCAATTGGTTGTAAATATGGGCAGAGTCGATGTGACGAAGGTAGGCGGAGTTTCACTTGCGGAGGCCCGCCTATATTGTCCGCTCCCTCCTGTCGGGACATCTCTATGTAAAATTAAGAGATTGGAGCGAGTAACATGACGTTTCTGGAACAGCTGCGATAACACGTAGAATCACGAATATATACTTTGAGAAAAGTATTTTTTTTACCTAAGAAGGTCCCGCTCAGTTCCTCTGTGTTGCCTATAGGAATTACATATGAGGGAAAAGGTGTACCTAGTTGTTTATAGCTTGATATGAACGAGTGCGAAAATAAAGTCTAATGTGCAAAATATAATTGGCGGGAATTTAATTGCTTCACAAAACGTCAAACGAGATACTATCACAGGCTATGCTTAACGACGTAAAAATAAATGTTGAGGTTGGGCTTCACTTCCTTTCTCTTTGTATAAACCCTTCTAAAGACAATTTTTTAAATTGGAATTGGGCCTTCCTTTGCTTTTCAAATTTCATTATTTCTCAATTTATTTTGAAAACAAGTTGTCTCCTTTAGGGTTTCAAAAGGTGCTAACTTAAAAGTTAGTAAATACCATATATGGTTGATAATGTTAATCTGAATAAATTGACTGATTTCCAGAAAATTTATGGGGTATCGGGCTCATTTCAGACTTTTAATTTATTTCAAAAAAATTAAACAGCCGATATCAAAAATCGGTACACTTTGTCCTTATCGTTGCTGATGCTAAACTTAGAGACTCTGAAAACATAGTGTTTCGAATTTTTTAAATTGTAATTCGTCTGTAAAAATGAAACTAAAATTTTTTGATTTGATCGATTTCATTGATATTTATCTAACATTTTAAAAACTCATTTAAATTAAAAATTAGGAAATTAAAGACAAATGAAAATTATTTATTTTTTTTTTAAATTATTTTTTAATTTCTCAAGAGAATCCAATTAATAAATGTATTAAATTATTTTTTTTAGGAAAGTGAACATTTTACGCATGCCATTAAATAGAAAACATGCAGTTGACCCTTCAGGTGATATTCGCATTTCTCCGGCATGATAAGATCAAAGATGTTCGCATTACTGGATGGCACGAATTTATCGGATTTTGGTCTTTCATTTCTGTTATAATGGATCTATTCAGTGAATGTAAATTAAACACACACGTGCTCCTTGAATATCGATTTTTTAAATAATTTTTATAAGAAAATTTTCGTATTTTCACTCGTTTTTCGCGGATTTTTTTAAAATAATTTTAACTTTTTTTTTGAGTAACACTTGGTAAATAATAATTTCATATCGTTTTCGTTTTTTCTATTCCAAAACTGAATCGATTTTATTCGAATATTGTTTTAATTTAAAGAGATTGAATATTTCAGATCGTTCATAACTATGGCTAATTTGGATAGGTTACGAAATAAGAAAAAGGCTATAGTAAGAAATACAATTTAAACAAAAAACAAATAAATGAATTTATAGATTGCACTGCTTATGAAAAAACGAATTTTTTTGGTTTGGATTTTAAAACAAAATGCATTGAATGCATCTGAAACAATTGAAGTGATCAAGAAACAGAGCTTCGATCTTTTTTGTGAAAAAGTCTACCGATTAGTAGATTGTGGTGGTATTGAGGTAAGGAAACAAGTGAAACAAGTGAATTTCTGCGTAAGTAATGTAGAATAAATTAAGTTCGTGACCGGCGTTTCTAACAGCACGTTCATGGAGCTTCTGAAGATATGCCGAAATCACAAAGGTCGAATCATGCGACAATTCGATTGGCAGTTCTCTTAAAATACACAAGAGAAGGTTATTTTTTAGTTGTTTGTTAGTGTTTTACAAGCATTAAAATTATAAAATTTAAAGGTATTAGTCTTCTTGCAAAGGAAATTGGAGTTTCGCAATCAACGATTTCTCGACTAGTTAGAGATACAATCGAGGATATCGTCCAAGTTGCCGGAGAACAAATCCGATTGCCACAAAATCGAAGAGAATTAATTCGTCTGGAAGAAGGATTTATGAACTCTTCTGATCGATCTCCTTGTCGAAGAATTCCATGTTTTGCCGTATTGGGTGGAAAGCATTGGAAGATCGAGCATCCTGCGCATACAGGATCGTTAAATTATAATTATAAGTCTTTTTATTCATTTAATTCTCTTTTTTGTTGTGATGCAAACTTGCGTGTTATATATTTGCAAATCTCTGAGCTTGGAGTAAATTCGGACTTCCAAATGTTCAGACATGGGCCTTTGGGAGCACTCCTCGAAAATGCAGCCACAATAGGTGGATATCGCCCGCTTCCAAATTCATCCATTATAATGCCTCCATTTATAATTGCTGATAATGGATTTGGACTATCTAAGTTTCTTATGCAACCCTATAGGCAGCTTTCCTTGACTCCAGAAAACATTCGTTTTAACGAGATTATGCCGGCAACTAGGGTGAAAATTGAAAATTTTTTTGGTGTGATGCAGTCGAAATTCCAGATTTTCAAAAAAGCCCTTAATATGGACCCGTCTTCTTCGCGCGCCCTCATTGTAGCACTTTCAGTTGTACATAACATATCACTAGGTGCTCCTCCCGATCACCCAACTGACCACAACTT